CTGAATTGTAATCGCTCCATCTCCTCGGGTGAACACTTCGCGTGTGAAACACACACACACACAGCTATGAGACCCGTGTTTACTATACAGTACATGTATACTCACCTGCCACCCGTCCATCATCACTTGAACTGGCGTGAAGAAGAGCAGGAGGGAGAGCAGGTTTGAGACAAGTTGAGCATAGATGAATGGCAACCTCCTCTTGCCTGTTTATCCTGATGCCTGGGGTACAACTAAAAAACACCTTGCTTGTACCATGGACTCAAGTCCGATAGTTCGGGAACAGAGTTCACCCCATGCTGGCGTTTTGAAAAGCAATATAAAGCGCTGGCCTTAGTAGGTGATGGGTCATCAGTTCAGTCGAATTGTCCTTACAAGGGAAGTAGGGGCTTCTGTGCTTTGACGAAAACAATTAAAAACCTCGAGAAAGCCGTCATTCAAAAAAGAGACAGAGAGCCACCGTCGTTAAGCAGCTGCGACTGCATGCAATTGTACTATCCCTTGTATAATTAATTACAGAGTGCACAGCCTAACATGTATTTACAGTATGCGGTATATTTCCGTAACATCATTGATTTTTTTAAAAGGGAAAAACGTTGCTGATGTGTATCAGAGAAATTGAAACCGGTTCGCGGTTTGCCTATTTGCAAAATAATAATGATGGCCAATATTTATCTGGAAAGTACAAAGTCAGACTGACTAAATATTACATGAATCATACTTTATGTGTGTGCAACAATGGAGCAACGTTGGTCCCACGTTCCATGCTGGGGACATGCGTATGCTGTCAACGCAAGAGCAGTTAGCGAGCACCTATTAAGGTCTGCTCGACGCACGAGTGGGTACCAGGTGGCCAACACACTCCACTACCCGTTGATGCGATATTTTACACCCTGCACCAGATACTCTCAGGCTGAGTCGATCTAGCGGGGAGGGAGGCTCCCATCACGTCCGACATCATCTGGAGGAAACCCATGTAGATCAAAATCCCCGAGTTATATGAATCGGAGCCCAGGGGTATTTCTTGGCGTGAGGTGTGAGTGTTCCCCCAACGTGCAGGACAACGCGAAGACATATCAGAGCTACCGGCAGATGTCTGTCAGATGTCTCACACACACAAACACACCGTAGAAATGGCTTGAGGTAGGGCAGCCACGAAGGTGTCGTGTTTCATGTCACCCACCAAAGGAGATAATTATAGCGACGATCGCGTTTCCCAAAAATGTGCAATTGAATATTCAGAACGGATGATACGTCGTCAGATCTTACGATGATATCGTGACGTTGTCATACTTGCAAGCAGCCTTTTGCATTAGAAAAATCGTCGAGGCTCGTGAGACACGTGGACTGCTCAACGTTGTTGGTTCAATTTGACAATTGACCTTTGCTTCATAGTGTACAATGACCGAAATTAACAAACACTCACCCACCCCAAGCCAATGTGTAGCGTGACAGTTATTCAAAAATAGGTCAAGGTCTCCGCCGATTGGCGGCGAGAGGCCTCCACAGTGATTGGTCGTGCGGCAGGCTTTGCGAAGTGATTGGAGGAAATTTTTTTTTTAAACGATAACTGGGCGGGAAAACTCCAGGGGCGACGGTTGGGATCCGTTAGAGAGAAAAGGACGGGGATTGGCTAAGGGGGGGGGGGGGGGGGGAAGAGTGAGGGAGCATTCGAGAAAGGGGGAGGGTGGAATGATATAAAAGTGCAGAGCACAAGAGGAGGGGATGTTAGAGAGAAGGAACAAGCTTCAAGACCGAGCACGAAGCCCGGACCTAGTATTGTTACTGACCATAATACAGGTTTTTTTGTTGGGTTAGATCGCGTAAATATATAAATTTGTTGTTAAAACCCGCCAGCACCCGATATAACTAATTAGTAAGGTTTGTCACGTAAACAGAACATGGTCAATTCGTTACGAGTGTAGTGTAATAGCGCCGGCTGGTGACCAACAGCGGCAACTGCGGTGTGCAAACAGTACACACGCCAGTGAGTATATACACGGGTGTGTTGGCAGGGGAAGGGCCATAGAGGGGCCCATCTGGAAGCCCCTAGAACCTGCTAGTGGGTTCTAGAAGGGAGGCGCGGCCAGGGCAGAGCCAGGCCACGCTGCTAGGACAAAAGGGGCCGAGAGCGGGGAGCTCGAAGCCGTCGTTGTGGGAATTGTATCGTCTCGTTGTCGCTGTTGTCTCGCCGCCATCGTCGCTGCCGTCTTCGCTCGACATTGCGCTGCTCGATGGCCTGTCCGCTGTCTCGGTCAGCGCCGCCGATGCTAGACAGCAAGCGTTGCGCCAAAGGCTAGCGAGTGCAGAGTGTGTGCAGGCGAGGTCGTTGTGTGTTCATGAAAGAAGGTGCCTCTAAAATATCGTCTCCGAAGTCAGTGCACTGCACTAGCACAGCACTAGCCGGTTGTGTGTTGGACAGCAAAGCCACAACAATTACAATCTGAGTACGACGTTTCGCCAGTAATTACAACTAGCTTCATCAGGCGACAGCCAGATTTGTGGCTGTCGTCTGGCGAAACGTCGTACTCAGATTGTAAATGTTGTGGCTTTGCTCTCCAAAACACCGGTGTGCTGTGCTAGTGACGAATTGGCATGTTCTGATTACGTGACAAACCTTACCAATTGGCTGTGTCGGGTGGTGGCCGGTTTAACGACACATTTATATATTTATGCGATCTAACCCAAATAACCTGTATTTTGGATTATATTGGTCGCAAAAGCTCCTAGTAGTTCGTCGTTCGTGTCGTTTCAACAGCACCCTGTAGATATACTCTTAGCATTGCTTATCATCTATTTTTATTTTATTTTAACCACAACAACGCAAATTATTATTTGGAGTTACGTATCGTATAAGATTGTGTTGGATCAGGCAGCACCCACCCCTTTTGGGAGAGGGTTCCTGTCTTTTAAACCAGGAGTCCCCAACCCCCGGGCCGCGGACCGGTACCGGTCCATGGCCTGTTAGGAACCGGGCCGCACAGCAGCAGGAGGTGAGAGCGGTGAGTCCGCACGTGGCCCGCCCCCATTATTTTATGATTCACCACTTTCGTCCGCGCCTCTTTCCCACATTGCGCACTTGTCTGAGTCACAGTTTTGGTAAGCCCACAAGCTAATAACCCTAGCCAAATTGAGTAAAAAACAAACGTCGCTGGAGAGCTTCTTTGAAAAGGGGGAAAGACCCAATGATGACCCCCCTCCCCCCCGGTCCGTGAATAAAACTGTCTTCCACGAAACCGGTCCCTGGTGCCAAAAAGTAAACTCTAGATGTGCGAAGTGGAACTTAGCTTTCATAGGATTCGAGTTAAAGTTGGTCAACGCACCTCCTTCTTGCTCTTCTGTCGCTACTACCACAGTCATTCCCTCACGCCCCCCCCCCCCATTCCTCTTATCCGCACTCTGGCGTGTGGGGGGGGGGGCTAATCCACTGCTGGATGAACGGCATACCCACATCTTTCGTGTCTTGGGGTTACATGGCTATCGTTTCACGCCGCTGGTCAGTACAGGTGTGGGACCTTTGAATTCGAGTACAATAAAGGATTTTCTGCACTGCCCTCTGCTAACCCACACACAATGTAGCCCCACTGCCTATAGCACCTGTTCTGTTTAGTCTTCAGCCATTCCAGCACCATTCTCGCTCAACTCTGCTTAGCATTGCGGGTCACGTGGTCCTTCGGCTCTTATGCAATAAACACGAAAACAACTTACCCGGTTATTCTATGTGTCGAGTTATATATTAATTCATAAAAAAAATATTGAATATATTTAAGTTATTTAATAATAAATCGCAATCTCTCCAGGAAAGGGCAATGTTTTTTCTTTCTATTACTAAATATTATCTGGTTATTATTCCCCCCCCCCCACAAAATAGGAAAAGTATTAAATTATTTAAAAAAAGATAAAATAATGAAAATCATCTTAACCCATTACAGTATAATCCAAAGCTACAAAAAATATATATTAAAAACAAAATCTGAATTTTTTTGTTAATCGCTAAAATAATAAACACCCCCCCCCCAAAAAAAAAATCAGAATCCCTGGTGTATAGACTTGCGCAAGACGGTTCACCACTGGCGTAAGCCGCAAGGTGTGCAGCGGGGAAGAACATTGGTTCAATAAACCCCATTGCATTCCTCGCTCCAGGCCCCATGCCAACTGGGTTGCGCAAGTACTGCCCTCCACACATCTCCACGCCCACATCCCCATCCTGTTGCCCACTTCGGTCTGCGGCAGTGCACCGAAAATGCTTTGTTGTGCTGTACTATGCTTTCGCAGCCACGCTCCCTGCCATCACCGACCCGCGCTGATGAGCGTGGTGACGTCTGGTCCAAACCCCCCAGTGTGCAGACGCCCTCATCCAGCAGTGGATTAAAAAAAGAGAGCTCGCACGTGTACGTAACGACCAAGATCTCCATGCCGTGCTCGAAACGTTTCAACTTGGTTAAATAAAAAGGGCTGAAAGCTTCCATTTCATTGTCCGCAGAGCCGTTTTGTGGCTCGCATTTTCCCTTAATGAGTCTTCCCAGCCAGTGGTTTACGAGCCCTCGGGAAAGTAATACAATGAAGCCCCCTATCCAATTCTCCCCACCAACCCCCCTCTGTTAGTATCCCAGTGCAGCCCCACCCCCGCTCTGACAGGCACCATGCAGCGCCACAAGTTTTGGCCTCCCCTGCAGCACAGGGCGGCGTCAAATGTTCAAGTCTTCTGTCGTGATGCTTAAACTCACACCGTGTTTACAACTCATCGTTAGGACGGGGCAGAGTGGGTGGGTGGTGGGAGGCTCAGTAACTGAAATGCATCTGGTAGAAGTTATGGGGCCACAAACGTTTCCGCTGCAAACACTATTAATGCCCTCGCAGCTCACACAATGATTTCCAAATGTAAATAATTTCAAACCTCCTAGACCCCCTTCGCAGATGCACTGGATTTGTGAAGCTCACACAAAGAATGCATAAGACACGAATACGGCTCAAACAAAAAAATAACACACGGAGGCAAATGTATTCCAAGCTATGTATCTATTGGTATCAATGTTATTACAAATCCATACGTAGGGTACAACATTCACACACATCGAAATATATTCCGCGTTTTACACTGCTCACGTAGTAGCGAGTGGCAAGGCGTGGCCACAGCGTGGATTGTGAGTGCCACATGTTGCTCGCGAGCGGATCCTATAGCGCGTGGGCCGGCGGAAGCACGAAATCAACTTTAGTGGCGTTCAATACAAATGGAATTTCAGCAGACGCGGGAGCAGCCAGGAGCACTCGCCCGCCCCCCGCCCCCCCACTGACAACGGAGCCAATAGAATACACGAGCACTCCTGGGAGCACTCCAAGGAGTGCTCCCAGGAGTGCTCGTGAACTGTTCCCCGCCCCCCCCACAAATGTTGGAACGCCACGACTAACTGGCACGACCGGTCGCGTGACAACCGCGCGTTATGCAATTCTCAGCCACGAGGAAAACGTCGGTATGCGTCTCGTAGGATCGGGAAGTTTGGCCACACCTCGTGCAGGCTTATGCATTCCCGAGAAAAAAATAAAGGCTGCAGGCATCGTTGGTTGTTGTTTATATATATGGCAGGCTCATGTGGAGAACAGACGACCGCGGGCGGCGAAAGGCGCGTCGAGAATTCCTTTTGCGCGTCTTTGAAGTTTAATGACGTTGAGACCTACATAAGTGACCGCGGAGGATGCTTGGAATATCTTGCAAAGGATGGGGTAGGCGACTTGAAAGTTGAGGCTGTGCGGCGAGACGCGATCCCCGATGGTTATCGCGCGGAGTCTGCGATGGGTGGAACGCGTGCCCAGCACGGAGGCGCGCAGGTTACCGAGACGGGCCGTTGGATGGAGTGACGCGCGCAGAAGTCGGCAATCAAGATGGGGAAACCTGACGCCAGCGATGATGAGACTGTAAAAGTGGTCCTTGATGGACGTATCGATGGTGTAACAAGGGGACGACCTCACAAAGCGGATGGTGCTGGTGATCAGATTGCATAAGGGAAGACGTTGAAAGCTGTCGACGTTGTAACAACTAACGGGTCTGGCAGAAGTAAGCAATGGCGAGGCATCACAAGGTCATGGTCACCTGCAAGCTCTGCCTTTCACGTGTCAAGCAGCGTGCAAGCCTGCCATAATGAGTGGATGGATATGTGAGGGTCACAAAAATAACGAACAATTCCCTTTGTTTGTGTGCTGGGGGGGACTTGGTCTTAGGTAACCCCCTTAAGATATACTTTGTGAGAATCAAGGACGTTGAACAAGAGGCCACCAACTTTGATCAGACTGGACAATATGTTCAAGCGTTAAAGTCTCACAGCACCAGAAAGTGAAAAATCCAGCAAATTTTAAAACCCACCACCCCCCCCCCCCCCCCGTACTTAATTATAAATTCCCTTTATGTTTAAAAATCCTTCAAACAGTTGAGGCTTGTACATTTTGTTTTGCTTTTGACACACTTGCCCAGTGCTAAGTTCACGAACTCCTCTCATCCGCGGTCATCTTATCCGCAGCAAGCCTACCGTGTCTGCACACATCCCCCCCCCCCATACATGTGGCAATCTTCTTCCTAATGATCCGCGATAAGCCGCTTCTCCTCCGCACACTCGCGCAGCCAGGCAAGGTAAAACCGCGGATTGAGGATCGTAATGGTCAATCGTAGACGACAAATATGCACGATAGAATACTTAACAACCGATCGCGGAGCAGACCGATGCTCGTGGGTCTGTCTCTACTGTTGCGCAGCCGGTTTGCGCAACTGCTCACAACGGATTGCAGGGACGTCCACATATGAGCGATTCAGTTGCATGCAATTGAGCGATTCAGTTGCATGCAACTGGATCGCTGAGGTTTGGCTCCAGGCTCAAGGAGATGTGTAGAAATATTGTCAACAGTCCTGCATGTTAATAGCTGAGGGCTTTGGATAACAAAATGCTTCACCCTCCCTCTCAGCATTATATGTGCGATCTGCCGAATAAAAATGCATACAATAAGCATAACGATTAAGTTTAGTGAATGTTTTAATTTCATTCACACTTAAATATAAAGCCTCGAGGTCATCTGGACAAGACCATGGTTATATTTGCTGTTAAAAGAGTTTTTACTATCTTGCAGTATGCCATTCGTACGTGGAAATATAAGCCCATTGTGCTAACTGCATATGTCAATCAAAGTGAGTTAAACAAAAATATATACGATTAAAAAGAGATAAAACCAAATACATGATTTTTTTTTTAATATGAAAAGAGAATGGCTGTATACCGCATATACTTCCCGTCGATAAGAGTCGGTGCAGGTATGGTTCTAATAACAATGACGCCCGTACGCTTACGCTGGTTTGTGAAAGGTACAGGGGCACGTCGGTTTTCGGAAGCAGCATGGCCGAAGCAGTCTAGCATGCAAACACCGAGCCTTAAAAGCTTGAGACACAATTTGATTATTTGTTTTAAAGCATTCCAAAGCCTTATTTTACCGCAAGAGAATATGAAGCTCACACACTACCACACTACATTTGTATTTTTTTACGGGTAGCGCTGTATAGCTTTCCCATGTGTTACCTGGTTGTGTTGTGGTGTTTTGTTCCGGGAGAGGTTCCCAGCACGCAGCGCGAAACGTCGGACGTCACGGCAAACGGCGCGCAGTACAACCAGCAAGCACATCGTAGGACAGCTATACGTACGCACACTAACACATTCAACTACACCGCCAACCCAGCGAACCCCCCCCACCTGCATTCTACCCATCGGCTCTTATGACAAGATACAAATCTACAATGCATGTAGCGTAGAGTGGTGTCATGTGTGTCCCTGCGTCTCCATGCGCGTGTTGCGTGTGTCTGTGCGTGCGTAGAGGATCACGGAGAAGCTCGCTGTGAACACCAATGGTTAGATTAACATTTTGATGGCATGCCCGAAATGCCATCGTGTTTACGGTACGACCCATTTTTGATGATAGAGACCAACGGGATGTTTTTTTCCTTTGAAAAAATATTCACCAATATGAAATCAGGGCCCCTACAGTTACAAAGAAACTACAAGTGAATAGGCCAAACGTGGATAATGGTGGGGATGGGAGGACACAGTGGGTTTATCTATCTATCGCACCAAGTCCCATACCAACCGCTCAATGCCACAGGTTGGAAGCGCATCATTATGGGAGCAATGCTTAACCACAGACTTACTGTTAACTTAAAACAAACGACTAAACCAGCCCTTAGCCCTTGACCTAACCCTGAACCTAACTCCATGTCTGGCATTTAACCCGTGTGCCTTAAATTATTTTTGGTGTTGACAGCGTGTCTCTCCTGCGTGTATTTCCCGCTCTCAGCCGTGAATGGACATGTCCTGCTCTCTGTGGACCTGCTGATGAAGCTGGATGAACAAATTCGCATACAGGCTTATGAATGTGATGGCCAAAATGATCCCGAGGATGAGGCAGATGATGTTGAAGATCTTTGCCTTTCTTCCGTATTCGGCGGCTCCCTGCAGGTCGTTCAGATATTTCCGGTCCCGTGACTGCAGGCCGGAGAAGAAACGCATGCACACGCAAGCGCACACAATTGTAAAAATGCATTAAAATACAAGAAACATTCATAATACTACTAAGCAAGCTTTCATGGAGGCGGCAGTGTAGCTCTTAATTAAATTCCCAGCATGTGTGTCGTAAAAACGCAGCTAAGCTGCTGAAAAGGGCATTTAGAAAGAACTTTAAGAGTGCGATTGCGAGGAAGCACTACAAATAATTTGGCTATATTTTCATCCGGACAAAAAATTATTAATTCCCATCCAATTTTGGGTGAAAACTTGCCGAAAATACACATACCTGTCAACCCCTTATCAGTGCCTCCCTTATGACAGACCAGTTCACACCTTATTAGTCACCCCGTGCCCTTATAAATCTCAACGTTCATCCTACAAAATCCCATCACAAGGGAGAAACACAAATAGACAAAAAAATGCCTGTATTGAAGCAGCTGTATGCCGTATGGACCTGAAAACTCAATTTCCCTGTACAAGAATACAGGTAAACCGTATGGGTTGACAGGTATGAATACAGCACCGTTGTCATTTACTCCATTGTTAGTAATACAGGGCGATACGTTTATAGATATCCCACCGATTTCTAATTACCCACTTAGCTGAATATTGTGAAAGTGATGGCTCCATATCTTACAGAAGACTTAACATATTCAATAGGTGTATTGAGATTGGCAGGAGATGTATACACGATTTAAAAAAAAGTTCTCTATACATTTCCCCCCCATTATTTTCATGCGACATTTACCAAAACATGAAACGGGACCCCCACGATGTTTGTAATGTGCAATTTGAAAAAAAACATGCATCTCATTGCGCAAACCCCGAGAATGCTTTGCAGATTTACCTTGTTCTCCGGATTATGACACACTTTCCACCTTGTGTTTTAAATAAAAAAAATGTGGTCGTCCATCTTACTCTCTGGAGCTTCTTACAATCTGGAGAATGTGGTAGGCCTCTGTGGCATGGACCAGTGAGTAACGTTACGGCCTTTGACGATCGGCCAGAGAACACATTTTGAGCTTCTGGTCACGTTAAACATTAACCACTATAACGCGGCAAGGGAAAGATCAACAACTGCTAAGCTCCGCATGAAAAGAGTTGTATGTGAGACTAAAAAAAGAGGATAGCGACAGCGTTTATTCATGTGTTCTGGAAATAGAGGTCTGGACCCAAGGAAGTGAAGTGAAGCTGCACTCTCACGTCACTCATCTCACTCTTCCGCCTTCAATATCTGGAGCTCCCTTCCAACAGCCATCTGTGCTGTGGACTGCGTGCCCTCAAGCTTGATTAACGGCAGACCGATTGCCTTTTTCTATAAACATAAATAAACCCAGTGGACAATTTATAGCCATCATCTTGATATGCGGTCATATGTAAATGTAATTCATATTGTGTTGTATGCCCAGAGGATGCGAAAAGCTCTCACGTGTTCATTCTCAATGGAGGATTTCTACGCAATTCTGACTGTCACCTGATGAGGCTGGTTGTATTTTACCGGCGAAGCGTTGTAAATGTTTTGGGTTTACTCTACAACACACCGGCAGTGTGCTGAACTAGTAACTAATTGACAATGTTCGGTTTACATGACAAATCTTACTAATTGGCTGTGTCGGGTGGTGACGGGTTTAACGACACATTTATATTTACACATATAACCCACAAAACCTATATTGGTCACGAAAGCCTACGTGTCAAACGGGTACCAAAATCAATGCCTTTATGGAAACCCGGTTTGCAACCAAGGTACAGTGATTGATTTTGAAATGGGTTAAAATAAAAATTCCCTTCACGGGAGTACGAGGGAGTGGAAGCGATGATGCTGGAGAGGGAGTTTAAGTTGGTTGCCATCGCAAGGCTGTGAAGAGAATGCACACGTAAACAGCGATGTTATTTTAGGGATGTTATTTTCACATGCAGAGCATGCTAGGATTCTATATTCCAGGGTCAAAATCTCCACCGACAGCCAGGGAACATCTTTCTCCTTCCCTTCCTTAAGGAGGCTTCCTGACAGTGTCGTGAAACACAGTTGCATTTATATACTATATATTAAAAAGCCTTCAGCCAGCAACGGATTTATCATGGCTACTCGTAAATTAAATTGTTATTGTTGTTCTGCTGTTGAAGAAAATAATCTTGTGCATAACCGTCAGCACTGTCTTTCCTCTGCTGGATGAAACGCTCCCCATATCACCATTCCTCATGGTCCAGTACTGCGACCATCTCGCCCCCTCCCTCCCCGTGCACGAACCGATCTCAACGCCCCTCTGTGTCCATGGCGGTCATCCTTTTGGATGTTTTTGCATGTATAGCGTAACAATTCTAAACATAATTCTTATCAAGATGAAGCCGACGCATCGTTCGTATTAAGATTTGTCCAAGGCTGTGGAAGACATTCCTGCGGAGGGAGCTGGTAGGAACGTTGGGTTGCTCGGTCAATGGCCAGGGTCAACGGCAGCACCACGTGGTGTGTTCCGCAAACATGCCCGACTGTGAGGGCGGGCACAAGCCGGTGTGAGTAGGTTAAACGTTGAGTTTTATAAGGGCACCACGGGGTGACCAGCCCCTCCCCACCCAGCCCCACCTCTCCCACCCCCTACCCAGCCCCACCCTTCCCACCCAGCCCCTCCCCACCCAGCCCCTCCCCACCCAGCCCCTCCCCACCCAGCCCCTCCCCACCCAGCCCCTCCCCACCCAGCCCTACCCCACCCAGCCCTACCCCTCCCATTTTTGGATGCACGACGGATGGACACAATAATCCCCTGTGGGCTGGTGGTGTAACCAGGAGGTTCCGACCAGTAAAACAAAAGCCTATGCCTGCACGATTAATAAAGGAACATTAAGCAGGATGTTCATGAAAATGAATCTGTCATACATCTGTCATTCTCCTCTGCTGCCCCCACAATCTGGAACTCTTCCCCCTAAGCCATCCGTGATGTCAACCCCCTGCTCCGGTTGAACAAAACACCTGTATGAATTCTTATAAATTATACGACAGCCCAGTGGTGTCGTGGTAAAACAGTGAAATGTGTAAACGGCAGAGCACATTCTCCACATATTAAAACGGGATTCAGTCCACTTACCTGTTTTTTTTTGCTAATACATTTCTGAAATGGTGTTTGTTCGCGTATTTTTTTGTATTTATTGCAGGAAAACAGAATGTTGTGGGGAGGGGGCTACTTGGCTGGGTTTTTTGTAATAGATTGTGGGTGAAATGACCGATTCCTGCAACGATTCCATGACCTGTCGTGATTCAGGGTCACAGTCTGATTCAACAATCATTTATTTTTTTACATTGCGATGAATGGTAATAGTGCACGACGTTAGCCGAGGACAGGAATCTAACTCGGGTTTGCTGCGTTTATGGATCAGTGCACTAACCACTGTACCACCTGCTCCTCCTCATCCACATGCGATGAATGCAGGCAACGTGTTTGGCCAGTCAACAAAGACGGGCTCTGTTTTCGCGAGCTCCACACCACATGTCTTGGGCTTGCCAAGTGAGCAGACTTAAGTTGCCTGGGCATCGCGTGCAATTCAAATAGACTCCTGCTGATGAGACTTGTAAATTGAAATTGGCCCAGTTTGCCTGCTTAAATATATGCTGTCGTTAATCATCGGTTCCTGAGGTCACATAAGCTGATGAAATAAAGTGCGGAGACAAAAATGCGGTAAGGTGTGTAAGTAAGCTTATTTGGTTGCATACATTTTGCATGACGTTAATGTGCAAGCACAAAATGTCAAATGTAAATTTGAACAAACCGATGATAAAGGATGGGTTTTTTTCTGGTCATTTATGAATTATATTATTGTTGGAATTAGGTCATCTAAATCGGCCCCCCATAGTGCACGTGGAGAACCCACACACTATACGTTTCGAGAGGCAGACTCTGCAACAGTGAGCATTAGTGACTTTATAATACTGTGCCCAAGAGTCCTAATTATGATGAAACTGGCCCATAGTTGTCTATCACTGTTGCTCTAAATCAGTCGGTCACATTTACTAAATATATATTTAGACTGGGATCTAATATGAGCACACTGCAATGCGCTGAACGATGTTGCATAATACCCGAGGCCGTTCTGATGCTTACCCGATTGCATATTTTTTACCTTGTGTTTTTTCCAGCCTGCATTATTATTCGGTGAGCAAGTGTTCCCAATTATTTACATATTTGACCACAGGACAAAAGGCAACATTAAGATGTTCTTTGTTCATGTTTTTGTTTGTTGCGGTTGCACCCGAGTCAAGAGCCGCATGGCTCACAGGGTTACCTAATAAATGAAACTGAAAAAAACTGGCTCCAACGGCCATGGGCCATTGATACTTAAATAAATAATAAAAACAACCAATGCTGTCTAATTTGCAAAGACTGCGTTGGCAGTGGTGCTATAAGCACAAATAAAACCACTTCCATCCTCTTATAAAATTGGTGACGTTTCATGACCCTTCTTCATGGCACATTATATATTTATTTTGAAAGGCAGTGTTATTGACAAATGTCCCATTTTATGTAACTACTGTATTTTATAGAACGTATAGCCTGCAAAGCCGTAGATGTGCATAAAACTCCGTAGGGAGCTTCAAATTAAGATCACTCCGTAGGGATTTACGTCTGTGGAAGACAACACTGAAATTAATATGAGAAAATGTGCATTTTGATGGATTTTTTTAGTCACACACTTTTGGTCAAACATCTCCTTCCCGTTGGTTTAACGCAGTGTATTGGCTTAAACATAACTGGGTCGCTTTCCCACTGGAATCTTTCACCCCTGTTTACTCAGAAATATCTATTTCCTTTCATCGAGATTTTGAGGTCTGGGTTGTCTTTTTTTAAATCTCAAGTGCGGCCAGATTTTGAGTGAAAGGCTAATCTTGAAAGTGGAGTTGCGTGAGCCACATCGCAGCTGCGGGTGGGGTTTTGGTGCGAAACTCCAGGCTTCCTCTGGGGGTATTCGCTTCGTAAGTAGTTTGTGATATGAAAAAATAATAGGCTTTACCCTTTCTGGCAATAACACCTATTATTATTTTTTCAAACTTTGAGCCTGGCAAAAAGGTCCTAGTTTATGGTGAATTATATATTGTTTGGTCAACTGGTGGTCTCTCAACTGTTTTCAATAGGTGTTCGTTCATTTAGGCTTAGCGTTCACGACACATTTAAAATGACAAAATATTAAAACTTGACAAGTCTTAAAAGAAAAGCAAATTTTTTTATCCGAGCCGGCAAAATTTAGTCCACTTTTAGAAATATTTCTCCTTACCGTATTTACAAATTTCGCCTATTTGCATTTATTGCGAGGAAAATGTATCCTGTTGCCAGTTGCATAAAATGACACCGAATTAATAAACACGAGCCCAGACGAATCGACCTGAAACGTGTGTTTTATGCAACTGACCCTCCCGGTTTAACAAATGGGGGCTCTACACGATCTCAGTGGAGGTGTCACCGCTCGCCTTGGTCAACTCTCGACTCCCCAGAAAACACATTTTATTTGCATATATATTAAAAAAAACCCCATCGAGTATTCGTGTAAAATTGTTTTAAGATCGTAAACCCCCCCACCCCCCACCCACCCGACCCCTCGGGAAATGTTTAACCCGGTAAAGTAAAAAAAGGGAACGGGGTGGTAGTCAATGTTCTAAAATGTCCACAAGTTTCTCAAAATGGCGGCTCCAGCTGAGCAAGCACAGGGAGAGGAGGGCGCCGAAGGCCAGGGAGGGCACGGGGGTGTTGGAAACCCCCAGCAAGTACCCACAGCAGCAACAGCACCTCGCTAGGGGGGGAAGGGGGTCATAACTCTTGCCCATTCTCAGGCAACATCTCGCAAACTCTTGAGTCACTCTCTCTCTCTTGCACAACGATCACACCCAACCACCCCACCCGTGTATCCCGTGACATAACTGTTGGGGGCATTGCTGTTTGCGAGCAGCTATTCACACACACACAGAGACAAAGACCCCCCCCCCCTCCCGTATAGCCTGAACAGACTGTTGGGGCAAGTGCTGTTAGCGAGCACCGACTCACTCACAGACACACACTGACCCAGACTCCACACGTACACAAAGACGAAGTTCCCCCACCCCCCTATAGCCTTAACACATTTTTGGGGCAAGTGCTGTTAGCGAGCACCTATGAAGGCCGCTAAGGCACATTTGGGGTTTTGGCGGCCAGCAACCACGCCCAGCCGCCTTTGTCTCCCCGAGTGGCGATGTTTACGCATCACACCAGATACTCATTTGAGGCCGAGTCGACCTAAGGGAGGTCCCGTTCAGATATTTGTCACTGGTGATGGCTTTGAAGGGGAATCGAACTCGGATGGTCGGGGGTTCGTTGCACAGCGCGCTAACCGCTGCGCCACCGCTCCCCACACACAATACATCAACACTCCTTGACACTCGCATACAGATAACTCACCCTTACGGACTTTGCAACTACTTTACTTACAGGTGGGGCAGTTGGGGTTAAATTTCATGTCATTATTTGCGAGTCAATGGGAATAATTCAAATGTGGTCAAAATAGATACACCTGGAGCTCTTCACACCTATACCTCTGTAGTTGTGTTGGGGTGTGTAAATCGTCCACACTCGTGTTTTGAACATTACAGTGTTTTAGAGTGAGATTACTCTCTCGTAGATGAGTGCAAATGTTATCATACGCAAGACGCGCGTCAAAGAAGTTATGTCATGCGAGTGAATTGTCGGTTCAAAGTTTTAAGATGTAAATAACTGGCGATTGCGGTGAAAAATGTGATTTAACATTTGGGTGTCTTGATATGAAAGAGGAAGTCAGTTTTCATGGAACCTTGCAAAGTCAAGTGTTCGGCCACAGCGATTTAACACCCAAGGTCAGTGGAGGCCACCCTGCATGTTTGTCGAACAATGCAAGGTCGCTTTGAAAAATCTTATTAAAATCAAGGACCTACACTCGAAAACCTGCACACTCCTACAACGAGGTACCCAGCAACCCGCACGGCTCTTTAATGAACCCTTCGTGGGTGGCGTTATTTATTACGGAACCCCCTCTCCTCCACCGTTCTCCTATTTCACATCGAATCGCGGCTCTTGAAACAGAGATTTGTTCGAAAAAAAAAATGCCTCTTCTTGTTATCTTGGTTGCAGAACCAGTGGTTCCCAACCTCCCGGGAATTCCACGATTACCAAATCGTATCCGCACATCTCCGTGGCGCAAACTGCCACGCAGGGTTTGGGAACCACTGCTCTGGACGAGGTCGGAGACTCCCTCCACTTGGTGTCGGCAACACGGTGACATGTAGCCAACATGCAACGTGCACGTGCACCTGGGGGAAAGGGGGGGGGGTGACTGGAACAACAAGAACAAGAACACCGACCTTGATGGAGAAGATGGTGGCCACCAGACCCATGCAGCACACGTTGAAGTAGACCATGTTGAAGAGTGACCAGGAGAAGAAATCTCGGATGCCAGCAGCCGGCGAACGGTCTCCTTGGGGCACCAAGATCACCTGTGGCTGAGAGAGAGGTGGAGCCCCGTACCCGGGCTGCATGTCGCCTCCCTTGCGATAGTCGGCGCGCGTGCCGTCGTCCATGAGTGGATACGAGTTGTCCATCGTTTTGAAGAGAAGGTTCGACTGACTGAGCGAGCCTCGGCGAAGTCTGTGTGTCTAGCAGGAGCAGTAGTCTCAAGCGGCCTCTCAATGCAGCACAGGGAGGCGGAGTGTGATAGCTTTAAAGGCGGTCCTCTCGTAAGATTTGCGTAATGTTGGGGGGGGGGGGATGAGGGGGCTTTAAATGCGCATGTTGCACCGCCCACTGCTCACGACCATCCTCCCACCCCGCGTGAACCACCAAACGCATTCCCTCATCCCCTCCTCCCCCTGTAAAACCAACCCATCCACCATGCTGGGTAATCACCATCATTAGCAACAATATCTGCACGCCCTTCTCAGCATCCTCCCCGCAGCCCCTCCTCGTTTTACTGAAATCCTCCTTCGGAGTCAGCATCCATGAAGCAAAGATCTCCCGCATAGCCTTGCACAGACTGTTGCGGCAAGTGCTGTTAGCGAGCACCTATTAAGGCTGGCACGGGACACGACAGGAGTGGGTCAGGATCAGAATCTGTATTCATACTGGAGGAATCTGATGAGCTGTAAAGGGGCCGTCAATAAATGACGTCACGCGATTTTGGACGATTTTTGACCCCCCCTCGTCACACGGCGTCACAAAAAGTCAAACCCCCACTCAAATATGACGTCACAAATCTCTGCCCCCCCCCCAAAAAAAAAAACACATGCTTCAAAATTGCTGTGGTGGTTTTCTCACCGGATGATGATTGCCTGTGTTGCAAACTAAACGTGATTTTTTTAAATTTAATTTTCTACCTACGTGACTTTACCGAAACAACCAGAGAGTATGGATTCCTGCAGTCACGAAAGCTTCAAGTCAAGATTGAATGCTTCAAATCGCTTTAAACTATTGTCATTGTAGTGAGTATTTAATGTGCCGCTTCACTTTGAACGTGTTGTCTTTATTTATTTAAAGTTGCGCATTTTGAGGTGACAGCCCCCCCCGCTCGCCACACATCGTCACAAATGTCTGACCCCCCCTAAGTGCGTGACGTCATTTATGGACGGGCCCAAATATATTTTTCACAGAACGTTACAAAAAAAAAGTACAATAAATGTTGCTGGATGACCAGCAACCACGCCCGGCCGCCTTTATCGACCCAGTGACAATGTTTACACATCGCAAATCCTGAGTCAACCTACACGTACCACCACACACCTCCCTTGGCCCACTCCTATTTCTGCCCAAACTCAAAGAGCCCAGCCTACTGTAGCTTTCAAAGACCATTTACCCTCACCACCCGCACCCCAACTAATCCGCATTCTTCCTGCCACTCCCAATCCACTAAACTATGCTTATACCGCATCCTCTCTCCGTTCTGTCACAAATCGCTTCCAAACCCATGCGGATGGACCACCTGCTGCTGTAAGTTGTTAACCCGACATGATTGAAGAAGATGCTCTTTAGTAACAATGGCTTTAGCCATGGGAGCCTCGCCGAGCCTCAAGATTTTGTTTTGTAGCTTTTTTGTCGGAAGTGTTTGTGCTGTATTGCCAATTCTATTCGTGCCTGTGTTTGGCTCGCTCGCAGCAGGAAGTAAAAGTACGTGGGGGTAGGAAAAAGAAACAAACCCCCATTGCATACAGGTCTTGTGACGGGTTTATGTTGTTGTGATGGTGGGGGATGTAGTGAAAGTGGTGATTGATGATGATTGAGATATTGATGACGATCATAATGTGCGAGATGCCGGTGTGATGACACTGTGTGAGAGGGGAATGATGGTATTAACCAGGTTTAACTCCGCTTAGCTTCTGAGGTAGTAAGAATTTCAGTCAAATCAGTAAATGACGAGATAGAACCCACCATAAAGAAAGCAATCCATACGTTTCAAACGTCACGTAAAATAATGTAAATATCACACGGCTGTTGTGCATTTTGCATGTTTGTTTTGCAAAAAAATACTAAAAACTTAAGACAATAGGACCACAATGCACTTAAGACAATAGGACCACAATGCACTTAAGACAATAGGACCACAATGCACTTAAGACAATAGGACCACAATGCACTTAAGACAACAAGAGGACCACAATGCACTTAAGACAACAAGACCACAATGCACTTAAAACAATAGGGCCACAATGCACTTAAGACAACAAGAGGACCACAATGCACTTAAGACAATAGGACCACAATGCACTTAAGACAACAAGACCACAATGCACTTAAGACAATAGGACCACAATGCACTTAAGACAATAGGACCACAATGCACTTAAGACAACAAGAGGACCACAATGCACTTAAGACAACAAGACCACAATGCAATTAAGACAACAAGAGGACCACAATGCACTTAAGACAGCAAGACCACAATGCACTTAAGACAACAAGACCACAATGCACTTAAGACAACAAGAGGACCACAATGCACTTAAGACAACAAGACCACAATGCACTTAAGACAATAGGACCACAATGCACTTAAGACAACAAGAAGCCCACAATGCACTTAAATCAACAAGACCACAATGCCCTTAAGACAACAAGACCACAATGCACTTAAGACAATAGGACCACAATGCCCTTAAGACAACAAGACCACAATGCACTTAAGACAACAAGACCATATGCCCTTAAGACAACAAGACCACAATGCACTTAAGACAACAAGACCACAATGCACTTAAGACAACAAGAGGACCACAATGCACTTAAGACAACAAGACCACAATGCACTTAAGACAACAAGACCACAATGCACTTAAGACAATAGGACCACAATGCACTTAAGACAACAAGACCACAATGCACTTAAGACAGCAAGACCACAATGCACTTAAGACAATAGGACCACAATGCACTTAAGACAACAAGACCACAATGCACTTAAGACAACAAGAGGACCACAATGCACTTAAGACAGCAAGACCACAATGCACTTAAGACAAGAGGGCCACAATGCACTTAAGACAATAGGACCACAATGCACTTAAGACAACAAGACCACAATGCACTTAAGACAACAAGAGGACCACAATGCACTAAGACAACAAGACCACAATGCACTTAAGACAACAAGACCACAATGCACTTAAGACAATAGGACCACAATGCACTTAAGACAACAAGACCACAATGCACTTAACACAACAAGACCACAATGCACTTAAGACAACAAGACCACAATGCACTTAAGACAACAAGACCACAATGCACTTAAGACAATAGGACCACAATGCACTTAAGACAGCAAGACCACAATGCACTTAAGACAACAAGACCACAATGCACTTAAGACAACAAGACCACAATGCACTTAAGACAACAATAGGACCACAATGCACTTAAGACAATAGGACCACAATGCACTTAAGACAATAGGACCACAATGCACTTAAGACAACAAGAGGACCACAATGCACTTAAGACAACAAGACCACAATGCACTTAATACAATAGGGCCACAATGCACTTAAGACAACAAGACCACAATGCACTTAAGACAATAGGACCACAATGCACTTAAGACAACAAGACCACAATGCACTTAACACAACAAGACCACAATGCACTTAAGACAACAAGACCACAATGCACTTAAGACAACAAGACCACAATGCACTTAAGACAATAGGACCACAATGCACTTAAGACAGCAAGACCACAATGCACTTAAGACAACAAGACCACAATGCACTAAGACAACAAGACCACAATGCACTTAAGACAACAATAGGACCACAATGCACTTAAGACAATAGGACCACAATGCACTTAAGACAATAGGACCACAATGCACTTAAGACAACAAGAGGACCACAATGCACTTAAGACAACAAGACCACAATGCACTTAATACAATAGGGCCACAATGCACTTAAGACAACAAGAGGACCACAATGCACTTAAGACAATAGGACCACAATGCACTTAAGACAACAAGACCACAATGCACTTAAGACAACAAGAGGACCACAATGCACTTAAGACAACAAGACCACAATGCAATTAAGACAACAAGAGGACCACAATGCACTTAAGACAGCAAGACCACAATGCACTTAAGACAACAAGACCACAATGCACTTAAGACAATAGGACCACAATGCACTTAAGACAATAGGACCACAATGCACTTAAGACAACAAGAAGACCACAATGCACTTAAATCAACAAGACCACAATGCCCTTAAGACAACAAGACCACAATGCACTTAAGACAATAGGACCACAATGCCCTTAAGACAACAAGACTACAATGCACTTAAGACAACAAGACCCCATGCCCTTAAGACAACAAGACCACAATGCACTTAAGACAACAAGACCACAATGCACTTAAGACAACAAGAGGACCACAATGCACTTAAGACAACAAGACCACAATGCACTTAAGACAACAAGACCACAATGCACTTAAGACAATAGGACCACAATGCACTTAAGACAACAAGACCACAATGCACTTAAGACAGCAAGACCACAATGCACTTAAGACAATAGGACCACAATGCACTTAAGACAACAAGACCACAATGCACTTAAGACAACAAGAGGACCACAATGCACTTAAGACAGCAAGACCACAATGCACTTAAGACAAGAGGACCACAATGCACTTAAGACAGCAAGACCACAATGCACTTAAGACAAGAGGGCCACAATGCACTTAAGACAATAGGACCACAATGCACTTAAGACAACAAGACCACAATGCACTTAAGACAACAAGAGGACCACAATGCACTTAAGACAACAAGACCACAATGCACTTAAGACAACAAGACCACAATGCACTTAAGACAATAGGACCACAATGCACTTAAGACAACAAGACCACAATGCACTTAACACAACAAGACCACAATGCACTTAAGACAACAAGACCACAATGCACTTAAGACAACAAGACCACAATGCACTTAAGACAATAGGACCACAATGCACTTAAGACAACAAGACCACAATGCACTTAAGACAACAAGACCACAATGCACTTAAGACAACAAGACCACAATGCACTTAAGACAACAATAGGACCACAATGCACTTAAGACAATAGGACCACAATGCACTTAAGACAATAGGACCACAATGCACTTAAGACAACAAGAGGACCACAATGCACTTAAGACAACAAGACCACAATGCACTTAATACAATAGGGCCACAATTCACTTAAGACAACAAG